CAACGCTGAATGCAGATGAAGCCATAGCTAGAGGCTGTGCTCTGCAGGTACGTATTGGTAGCACTTGAGAATCTTTGCACTTCTATTTCCTGGGAGCACTCTTTTGGAGAGCTAACCAAGCGGTTAGGAGAAATGTGAGAAGGCCACTGAAAAAACCACGTTGAGTGGTTCCTTTAAAAGCAGGCAAGGGAACATACTTGTTCACTAATCTGTTTATGGAACTTTGCTGTTAGAGTTCAGAGCGCTCTTCTATGTTACGCTACTTTATTTAAAGTACTATTGTTGGGTGTATTCTATAAGCAGCCCATTCTCCTCTTCAAAAGAACAGGATCTAGGAATCTTCTTTTTAAAGAAAAATTTAACGGTCATTGTCAACCTGAGAGAAGGATTTCTTTCATCGCCAAAGTGTGCAAAACGTATCTATGTCGAGCCAAAAACACTGCAAGTTTGCATTTTCTGGTATCCAACTTTCCATCCATGTAAAACTGACTTTTATTCTATTGTTATCCCCTGCTCCCCTCTTTATTTTTATGGTTTCCAGTCCAAGTGAACTATATTTTTACAGGCAAAACACTCCTTCCTTCCTCCTTTTCTGCTTTTACTCCTTCTCTTGTTTCACTCCCTCTTCTTTGTCTTGTTTCTTTATCCCATCTTACTAATTGCTTGCCATCACTAGCAGTCAATTCTCCGCAGAGAAAGAAGTGCGACCTGCAAGACAAACACTGTTTCTTTTAGGGTTAAGTAACGCAGCACGTCCATTCTTTGCAGTCCTGCTATTGCTTTAGACTGTTACCATTTTCAGAAAGTACACTAAGGATAAAAACTGACATTCTTACATTAAATGTTTGAACTAAGGATAATTGAGTTGTCTTAAGAGTGGGCCAAACGTCTCACCGATCCAAAGAATGTAAACACTTATATAGGAGATTTTTGTTTTCTTACCAAATTTCATTAAAATCAAGCAGTTCACCTACCTCTGTTTAGTACAGGCAACACAGTTCTCATGTTGCTCTGTTTACAGAGAGATATTTTAATGTATTGTTGGGGAAGGGCAGGGAGCAGAGCAGAAAGAGCAGTTAACCAACTGTAGTACATGTCTTTTTCTTTTAGTGTGCAATTCTTTCCCCAGCTTTTAAAGTGAGAGAGTTCTCTGTGACAGATGCAACACCGTTCCCAATATCTCTGTTGTGGAATACAGAAGCTGAAGACACTGAAGGGTAAGTAGCTCAAAATACAATTCTCAGAAGCTTTTTGGCCTTCAGAATTCAAGGATAATGTTCTTGGTTGTATTTAAATTATGATCTTGGCTTTCTGATGCAGAGACCATGTAGGTCCTGTACCAGAGACTGATGGCAGGATTCTGTATAAAAGCATGAGTTAAAATTTTAGCCATAACTATCTTCATAAATTTCAAAAATAAATTACAACTTTGGTGAGCAGCCAGTCGATGTCTTGTTTCCTGTATTCCCCATATTTGATTGTCTGGTTTTTTTAAAATGCAAAATGAAGTGCGTGAACTGTTAGATGATGATCACGTTTTCCTTTTTTTTTTTTTTTCTTTTTTTCTTTGGTTGTTCTCAAGGTCTTCCTAACACATACTGGATTACTGCTTTAGTAGGAATGTTATGCATTATGTAAATGTTGTCAGCTTATGTGGATACTGCTTGTCTGGCTGAAAGCAGAAGCAAGGATTTAACCCTTCTGTGGTTGGCTTGTTTGACTGGAAGGGAGAAGAGAGATTTCTTGCAACTGCAGTTTCTTAAGACAGTGATCTCTGTGCCATTAATTATGCCATGCCTGTGGGAAATGCAGTTCTTGCTGTTCAGGATGTACAGAGATCTAAATGTCCCTTTGTGAGATGTTAGGGAGAGTAATAGAGGGACCTATTCATTCTTTTCTCATGTTCTCTGTAGTTCAGCCTTTAGTCTTTTGTCTCTTCCTTCTGTGGGGATGCAGAACCTAATATTTGATCTGTCACAGGTTTCTGAGAGCAAACTCTGGATTTACATTTCAAGTGGAGCACTTATTTTCTCACATTTAGGTTACTGGATGAGTTCCTTCCATAGTTAAGAGATAAAAATTAGCTGGAAATTAGAAAGAATCAGACTGACATAATGGGGGACAGAGCCTAGAGAAAGAACATAAAGCTGTGGGGTGTGCCTGCCTTCCCCCCTCCCCCCCCCCCAGTTATATCAAGGAAGGAATAATAATCTGGTGTCAGGGTTCTCAATTGAACTATAGAAGGCAAATGAGTAAGGAATTAGCAGGGCTATAATTAGCCTTTTGAGTCTAACTGAGGAAGGGTGCAAATTATGATTTTAAATTATGCTGTTCCAAGCTCTGAGCAGCATTTTTGGAGGACACAAATTTTGCAGGTCTGCTGATAGTCTGTCACTCAAGTTTCCTCCTACATCTAAACTTGCTTGCTTCTGAGACCCAGATCAAAATGAGTGGAATAGGGTAATTTTGTTTTATAGTACACAACTGTAAATCCTCCCCCCCCCCCCCCACACCAACCTCTTTTTGAGGAGTCCTTGGAAGTGTTCAGAAGGGTAAATTTGTCAAAGCAGGGGGTTTCTCTTGACACTTTCCGACCCTAAATCAAAACATCCTAGCTAAGATATCTTGCTAAGACTGATGTTTTCTCTTCCTTAATTATAGGGTCCATGAGGTGTTCAGCAGAAATCATGCAGCACCTTTCTCCAAAGTTCTCACCTTCTATAGGAAAGGTCCATTTGAGTTGGAAGCTTTTTATTCTGATCCTAATGGAGTCCCATATCCTGAGACAAAAATTGGTAAGTAATTCTGGAAACGTTGCTGTCTCACATTGCATGGTATCAGTGTTGTTCTTAAGTCAACTCTAATAGTAACATGCTGCGATGTGTTACAGTATAGCTGTATGATGGATACATTTAGTCTTTTCTGTCTGGAGGACTCATTTTTAAACAGTTGCATTTCATAGGTAACTGAGTTTGCCTTTTGTTTAGCTTCAAAAGATGCCTCAGTGTGAAGAGATGAGGGGGAACTGGGACAGAATGGCCAGGAGCAGACTGGGGCTATAATTGCAAGAGATGCTTCTTAACTTCTTTTAATCCTTTTCTCTGCCTTTCATTAAAGCAAGCTGATATATGAAAAATATTTTTCATGTATCTATTCATATATCTTCTATATATAAAAAAATTGAAGTATGAATTATCCAGTAACAATGAAATCATGACATTCTTCTTGAATTATTAGTTTTTGTGGGTTTCTGTACTTGCTGCATTTTCCTTAATGTTGAGTAAGTTTTAATCAAGGCAGCCTGACACAGTGGCAGCTGCAAGACAACAGTAGTAATATGAATTGTATTGGTAACATCTACAAACAGCTGTTTCTTACTTTTTGATAAATTAAAACATTGAAAGTGTTGACAGTTACAAAGAGTTTAGAATGCAGAGAGGTTGTGATGGTAAAGACAGACCAGTTAAATACTTGCTCTTGAGTTCTAAGCTTGGAGTCCCATGTATGTTTGCACAGTGGAATTAAGATAGACGTTTATTACCAATTGTCAAGTAATTGTTTTTGTTAGGAAGCTGAACAGTTATTGTACTTTATTTTCTTCGGAATGATAGAAGGAACGACAAATCTCTCTTGTCAGGAAAACAGTTCCTCTTCTGTTTTTTTCTCTTTTGTTTTTTTCTTTGTTTGTACCCAAACTGTCCACTGGTTAGGTATTTCGCAATACAGCTGTGCTATTGGTTAACAGTACATTTACATTACAATATCAGAATTGTATTAAAGATTTATTTTACAAATACTTTGGAGGTGGTTGGGAGAATGCATAGGGCGAAACCATGTCCAACTGATTGATTTACTGATAGTTTGGCTAATACATAATGCACTACAAAGTTAGCTATAACTATTGTTCTAACGGGAACCACCATTTATTTTCCTTACTTTAAAGTAAATTATGTGGTTGTTTCACTGATAGTCACAAAGGTCAAGTACCCTATCTCTTAGAAACTAGCATGATATTTTATAGTTGCAGATGCAATAGACTTCGATGTATGTAACTGTTACTGTAAAGACCAATAGTGGAATTTCTGTTCAACTTATATGGCCATAACAAATGAAAAGATCTTTAACTGCTGTTCTGCAAATTGAGCATGGAATTTGAAAATCAGGTTGGTTTCAGCTCACCACCCACTAACTCTTTGCTCAGAACAGTTGTTACTAGCTCTAATGGGCAAGTCAGTGGTTGGGAGGAAACTGTCAAAAGAGGGCATGTTGCAACCCCAGTATTACTGGATTTGCAAGAGAAGGGATCACAGTCTTTAACCGATAAAGTAGGCAGATAGAAGCCCATACACATAATGACCAGATCTATGACAACAAAACAGTGCATGTGAGTGTGTGTATATTCATCCTGTGATGAAATTAATGAGTTGCTACTTTGCAGTTATACAAGCATTATAATCTCCAGGTTGCTGTTTTGATGATAAACCTATAACAACGCAGTAGGCAGAAAAAACACTTGTCTGCTTTTAAGTTAATGTCAAGAGATCTAACTTTTCATACACTTTTAAACTAGTTGTGTGTTTCTTTCACAACACTTATTTCAAGTATTGCAGAGGCCCCAAAACTACATATTCTGCCTCAGAGCAAAAAGGTAATGACAGATTTATGTGGCTATTAGAAGCTGAAAATGAAAAATGATTTTTATATTTCAAAAATACTGTTTCTCTACTGGACAATAACTTGTATTAAAAAGACATTCATCAAAACATTTGCATTAAACTAAATCCTTGTATAGTGTTTTTATCCCACTCTTGCATCACAGACAGCACAGCTATGGCAGGGTGACCTTTTATTTTTGGTATTTAATCTGTGTTACTGGTGACAGGAAAAACCTACCCTAGATGGAGAAAATAAACATTCTCCCTTTTGTGTTGTAAGCTAAAATTGGCTGAACACTAACATATTTTTTTGTCTTCAGTAGTCTTAATTTCATTTTGGGGACTCTGAGATTCTCACAGATAGCAAGACATCATAAGGGCTTTCAGAACTTACTGTTGATGTCGAAATAGATGTGAAAAAGCATTCAATTTTGTCTTAGATTTATGGGCTCAATTTTACAAGTCTAAAAACTAAGGTGAAAATGTGTTCTTAATATTAGGCACAATTGTCATGAAGCCAGAATGACAGGCTTAAAAACCTGCAATGATATTTCCAGATTTCTGTCCTTTCCTCCTGCCAATTTTGTTCCTGATGGAGTGCCCTGGTGAGAAATTCATGAGTCATGAATTTCTCAGGCTCCATTGTCTTAGTCAAATATGTGGAAAGTCTTTTGTATGACAGAGGGAGGTATTTTCCTAACTCTGTAATGTTACTTAGTTAATGCTATCATGTGAATGTTATTTTATTTTTAGGTAGGTATGTTATACAGAATGTGGCAGCCCAGAAGGATGGAGAGAAGTCTAAAGTCAAAGTGAAAGTCCGTGTCAATACTCATGGCATTTTCAGTGTGTCCACTGCATCCATGGTAGAACCAGTTAAGACTGAGGAGAGTGAAGATGTCACTGTTGAGACCGAAGTAGAATCTCTGGACCAGAGGCCTCCTGAAAATTCAGATGATGTGAGTTGATCGATCTTGTGCATAAATGTCCTTATTGGTGAAAGTGCATTCTGGTAAATATTTAGGAAAAGAAATACCTTCTTCTAAGGAGGCAAAGTGAGGTTAACTTTGAGATGTGCCAAGTTATCAGGAAGAATAATATCTTTATAAGAATAGGAGAAATTTAATGCTGCTATCCTGAAAATGTGTGTATTTCAAAATCAATTGTAGAGCCTCTTCTAAAAGTGCCAAGTTATTCCAGTTATAGCCAAATGGCAGCAGGATTGTTGCTTGAGGGTGGGCTTGCTTGCAGCTGCTCTATTTATCAATGTGTTCCAAATAGGAAAACTCACTTTGCATTGTCATCTGTGCTGTCTGTGTTGAAGAAGTTTGTTTATAATTCTACATATTAGTAAAGTTTGGAAACTTCTTGTGAAAGGGAAAACTGGATTGTTCTACAGCATTGAAGGAAGGGGGACGGTGGGGAATAATGCAACATTGTTATGATAGACGTGATGTTTTAATAATTTTCTGAGGGGAAGAAAAACTGAAAAGCTATGATTCAATTAAGTAAAAGCCACTTTCAGTAAGAGAAAGTGGTAACATGCACACATGCAAGTTTTAGGCTGCCAGCCTGGCATCAGCAGCATTTTCACCAAGTCCTTCCTGACTTGCGCCTAGTTTGTATCTCTTCATTAGTCAAAGCATGCGTGTTTCTGTGTGTGCACAGGATGCTTTCTAGGGCATTTTGTATAGTATGTGTGTCAGAAATGAAGTGTCCTGTAACTTTTATTGCATACAAGTGCACGTGCCTTCTACATCCTTTGTGCCTGGGCTTTCATTTCAGAAAAATATCCAGCAAGAGAACAGTGAGGCTGGAACACAGTCCCAGGTACAAACTGATGGTCAGCAAACGCCACAGTCTCCCCCTTCATCAGAACCTCCCTCTGAAGAAAACAAAATCCCAGATGTCAAGAAAGTGAGTGACCCTTTAACTCTGAAAATGTTATGCTCTATAATGGTGGCATTTGTAAGGGTAACGTATTCCAGAAAATTAAGGAACTTGATACTCGGGACTTTTTTGTTTGCTTTTTTGGTGGGGAAAAATGATCTCCAAGTTTGAAAAAAATTCCTGCAGGGAGTAAGTCTCTACCACATCCCTGTCTTTATGCAGTGTTGCACAGCTAATTGGTCTGGGTTGCAGAAATTTCAATTTGTTTAACAGCTGCAAGAGGCCAAGCTTACTAGACCTGCTGAGAGAAGCTGGAATTTGTTTCCTCTTAGGTTTAAGAGGCCCCGTCTATGTGGAAAAACTTGAATCTGCATGATATTGCTAGTAGTTTGTTTTTACATGGATGAAAAATGTTTCTGTTTAAAATCTTGCTGCTGTCAGCATCACTAGTGAAGTGCTAAGCTACAGATGGGCACTTCTGGAAAAATTGCAAATAGAACATATTCTGAGAGATGCCCTTCCCGTTGCTCAATTCTGTGCATGAAATAGACTGTAAACAGCCTAGAATATGAGGTGTAATCCCTGAAAGGGAAAGCGTCTCGCAAGTGTATGCTGAAAGTTATGAAAGAACACAAGATATCTGCTTGTTCCATCCAGGAATGTTTCTACCCATCAAAGTGTTACATTATCAGAAAGAAAGTCAGGAATATTATCTTATTTTTCTTCTCTCCAACTCAGACAAATGAGAAGAAAGCTGATCAGCCTCCAGAAGCTAAGAAACCCAAGATAAAAGTGAAAAATGTGGAACTGCCTATTGAAGCTAACTTGGTTTGGCAGTTAGGAAAAGATCTCCTCAATATGTATATTGAAACAGAGGTGAGTTAGAGTGTGGTTAAGCTGATTTCTTGATTACAGTTATTTAACATTTCTCCGCTTTTTATGGCAACCTCTGATCTTTTAGTGTAACCCCAGAACGTAGACTCTGACAGCTAATTTACTGTGAGCTAATGCACTGTCTAATGTTAACGCATAGCTGACAAATGTTAATCAAAAAGATAGAAGTGTCATTTATAGTGATAGCATCAGAGCAGTATTCCATGATAAGATCAGATTGGTTCAAGCTGTTTCAATCTAGAGAAGGACATCCCATTTCTTCTGGTGAGTCCACTGTGTAGCTATTAGAATGCTAGCAGTTCTGTGAACCAAGGCCTCTTGGAGATTAGTAACCTTCACAGAAGCTATGCTTTTTATGATGCCATTTGAAAATATTTAATTAAAATGTGTTCTGTTATTATGCAGGGTAAGATGATTATGCAAGACAAACTGGAGAAAGAAAGAAATGATGCAAAGAATGCAGTGGAGGAATATGTATATGAGTTTAGAGACAAGTTGTCTGGACCATACGAAAAGTTTGTTTGTGAAAAGGTAGGTTATAGTTTCAAGAGCGTCTCTGAAAACATTATCAAATATATAGTCTGTATTTCTTGGTCAAGCTTTATCATACCCATCCTGGAAGTAGCTGAAAATTGTTATTTATTTCAATAATGGCTGCGACTGATCCAGAATTAGGTTCTAGTTTAGCAAATAGTATATAGCCCTGAAAAAAAGAAATTTTTGTCATCAGGGAGTAAAGTTGTGTTTCCACATAAAGTCCACATAAAAGACTGAAAATGGAAGCTGCGTTATGGTATCCATAACCAGAGACATGAATTAAAGCCACGCTCCAAGCACTGGCTTGAGTCACAGGCAACCAGCTGCAAATGCTACCTATGTTGCAGACTTGTGTATTTCCTAGTTCAGAAGCTGGTATGATTTAATTGCCTTAATTAAGCAAAAGCTGCAGTAGAAATGCAGTTTCCCTTCAGGAGGCTAACAATGAATGCTTATGAACGTCCTGTTCATACAAGACAAGCACAGTCAATTAGTTCATATTTTGATGTTCAACATGTTGAATTGTATTGACGCATAGGATCTGCGAGGATTCTCTGCACTCCTAACAGAGACAGAAGGCTGGCTATATGAAGAGGGTGAGGATGAAGCTAAGCAGGTGTATGTAGACAAATTGGAGGATTTAAAGGTAAGTCTGTTGGTATGCCAAAAAGCAAAATTTCCAAAATACCACATGAAAACAGTGTTAATGAATGTTAATGAACTGTGTAGTGCATACGAAATGCTTTTTCCAGAAATTAGGTACTCCGATTGAAATGCGCTACCAAGAAGCAGAAGAACGACCGAGGCTGTTAGAAGAACTGGGACGCAGGCTCCAATACTATGCTACAATAGCTGGGGAATTCAGGAATAAAGTAAGTGCCCTGAAAGTATCTGTCTTTTACCACACAATATTTCACTGAGGTCCACCAGCTGGCAGAGATTTCAAATTTGCTTTCAGAGGACCTGCAGTCTACTATTATATAGGTCATGAAATTAACACCACAAATGTCTCGCAGTACTCTGCTTCAGTTGCTTGATACTTCTCTGGATATTTTCAGGCCCAAAAGTGCATTCTCATAAACAGTGAAGGCTAGGCTGTAGTCTGATGATTGATCCTTTAACAGCTAATCTGACTTCTTTTAAAGCTGTGCTTTAAACATGTACATTTCAGTTCTTTCTCAGCATGGCACAATATCCATTTTTGCTCCTGAAACATGAGTATAAAAGACAGTTCAGGATAAACTAAAAAACATACAGCATTTTATGTATAGGATGTATCCTTTTTTGCCACTGATGTTTGGAAATGACTTTTTTTATAAGTATGCCTGCCTCTGAAAATTCAGTCCATGGCTTTCACCTTACCAGTTTAAATAGGGCAGCTCATAGCACTCAAACTAATTAAATTTGACATCAAGACTTGCAACAGAAACAACTCTGTCTTCACAGTTGTAGATTATAAAACCATTTTTATTAAGTGAATCATGCAGTAATATTATACAGTCTTGACATAACTAACATCATTGAATACAGCAGGTTTAAGATTCAAATCAGTCTTCTGAATTCCCAGCCAAAATCAGAGGTTGTGTTGCTGGGTAGGTCCTTCCACCCTCTGTCAGTTACTTGCATAACTGTTAGTATGGCACAGTGGGGGACGCTTCCAAAGCTGAGCCGCTCTCAGCTTTCCCTTTTTGTGTACAGCAGAAGGGTACCGTCGTAACTGACCTGGGCCCACATAAGACTTCCCTGAAGATGGGGCAGGGTTTCCTTTAGCAATCCTGTTACAAATGCTGTGTTATCTTATTGCAAGCCCTGTTTGTGAAGCCTGCTTTCCCTTCTGTGAAATAGCTCTCTTGCTTGATTATCGGACAAATGAAGCTTCAACATCTATATTTCTTGGTGTCTCTGGCTGTAACAGATCTGGCTTGTTGCCAGCACTTGTTTATTTTCAAAATCAGTGTAGATGATAAATGGTAATTGATTGGAATAGTCTTCTCAGCATAACTTGATGCCAGGGAACTTGACATTATTAAATAATACAAAACATCTGAATTTGTGCAGGATGAGAAATACATACATATTGATGAAATGGAAATGATGAAAGTAGAGAAATGTGTTGGTGACGTGGTGGAGTGGATGAATAATGCTGTAAGTGCACAGGCTAAAAAGAGCTTAGATCAGGATCCAGCTGTGCGTTCAACTGAAATTAAGGCAAAGCTACAGGTAAGTACTGAAATAACTAATTTTAGAGGCTGGTGCTAAGGCTTAGACTGACTTTTTCTTTTTTGCTGTTTTGTTTTTCTTTGCATTTAATCTTGCTGCTGCAGTGTTCTTAAAGGGTAGTTAGAAGATGTGGTAGCACATGATTCAGTAGAAAGCAGAGGAGCTTATAGTGTACCATATAGAATTTTGTGGAGCTATAGACATTTTGCGTTTCAGTCACTTTGAAAAGTCGGTTGACTTTTTCAGTACTATTGGTACAGAATAGTCTTGAAAAACATGTAAAATGAAAAATGTTAAATGAAGTACTTCTGTCTGCAGAACTAAGTAAGTCAGTTAAGTTATTTCAGGGTGCAATCTGTACTTGTCAATTTGGACTCAGGAAGCAAATAAAGAGACAAGTTTCAAACAGTAATGAGCACAGGGCTCAGCACGCTGGTGAAGTCGATGAGCCCTTAATACATATTCTGATCATAGCTCTTTCCTCTTTCTTTCAGGAGTTGAACAATATCTGTGAGCCTATTGTAACACAACCGAAACCAAAAGTTGACTCTCCTAAGGAAGAAAATCCATTAAATGAACAGAGTGATTATAAAAGTGAAGACATGGGAGAAGATGACAAAAATTCCGAAATGCCTCAACAAAATGGCGAATGTCATCCAAGTGATCAAAACGCCATGAGCATGGACTTGGACTAAACCACTGCACTTGCAGCAACTTATTTCATCCTGTGACAGAAGATATTTTTGCTGTCGTATGTGATGGGGGCAGGGTAGGGGGGATGCATTGTTTCGGGAGCTATTTATATTTTTCTTAAAACTTGTCTGGAATATGTTGTATTATGGGAGGAAGAGTAGTAATAATGATGGTCATGACTATCCTAAAAGGAAAATTGCCTTGGTAACTTTCAGATTCCTGTGGAATTGTGAGTTCATACTAAGCTTCTGTGCAGTATTTAACCATTTGCATCACTAACGATGAAAAGAAGCCCTTGCTCAGAAATATACTGCTACTTCAAGAGGTTGTAACCGAAACCTTCGTAGGCATTTGTAGATGCCAAGGTAGTTTTCTTTCATCTGGACATCTAATTGGGTATGTCAATAAAAAGCCAGTGTCTATCCCATTTTATAAGGACTTTCCAGAATAAAATCCTTCTGTTCTAAGGCTTTTGACTATTGCAGTCCAAAGCACTTATCAGATAATAAGATGGTGAAATGTGTTAGTAGCATGCGGAAACACTTATGTTTCGTCTCTTGCTAAACAATACATTTTTCATGTGGGGTACATAAAATGAAGGAAATGCTAATTCTGTTAGTGTTATTGTGAAGCCTTTTAATGAGCTTTAAAATAAAGTTCATTTTACTGCTATCTCCTGACTTGTTGGCTTTAGCTGTTTTCAGTACTTCTGGTATAAGTGAGTGCCCTTTTTGGTGTTTATGGCAGATAAGCAAGGCTGCTACTTTGCCTTCCTGTGCATGAGTCCTAAAAAGCTGTAACTCTCATACTTAGCACAGAACAGTTTGTGCAGTAAGCTGAAAGTAACAACTGCTTAACCAAATAGACAAACATTCATTTTTCTGTGCCCTAAAGAATGAATATACCAGAAGGAACCCAGAAGCTTCACAAAGGTAAAGCATATGATAAATTTGTAAGATTTAGATCCCTGTAGCTTAGAGACCAAAACCTGCAGTTCAGAAGATCATGTTAAAAGCTGATTAACGACATCACAGTTTCAGGTGCCTTTTGTTAAAGATTGAGCTAAAAAAGCAAAATGAGGTTTCAGCTCCTTTTAAGCAAGTGACTGGTTAGACCTTGATAAATGGTTTAAGAACAAAAAATTCTTCTCAGGTGAATCTCAAGTCTACAAAAGAAGCTTATTTTTCGGTACATGTAGCAGAGGAAGGTGCTGAAAGAGATGATTCATATCCTCTAATTTAGATGTCAGACTATACTAGGGAACCCTGAAGTCAGGAGGTAAGAGATTTTTCTTTTTGGAAGCATATTGCAAAGTGTGTTTGGAATCTCCACTGATGCACTGGAGTATTGACTCCCTGTGTAAGCATGTATAACCAGATGCTGGAAGGCCACAGAATCACTCAGTGCAAGGTCTTGGAAAAGGATGTGTGGCTCAGGAGTATTTTGCCTGCAACAACAAGAGGAAGTTTTGTTCCACTAGAGCTGCTGCAGTGGGAGTACACTTGAGAGGACTGGTGCTTACTTAGGGCCAACTAGTCTTACTCTTGCCTTTCTCTCTCCTCATTATTGCTTTTAGTAACATCCCTAGCTCTTCTAACAGACAGGGGCAGGAGCAATGCTACAGTGCACGCAGCTTTCTGTAGCAGTGCCTAGTTGTCAGCATTGGCTGTAAGCAACTGGACTACAAAAACACAGATCCATGTTATAGGCTCCTCATGCCTGCACTTTCCTCTGTGCTGATCCATTAGGCAGTTGTGTACAGTAGGCAACACCAAAAATCTTAGCTCTAGAAAAAAGATGGGGAAGAATCTAAAGAAGTCACTAGATTTCAAAACTGTGTTTGCAGTGTGGAGGAGGGTAGTAATTTACTTCTATTGGTCCCAATATAGTGGTAGGATCAAGATTTAAGCATTTTAACTGACTTACACTTCTTGCTTAGGTTTTTACTTGCTGAAATGGACAGTATGGCTCTAGCACTGTAAAGGATGTTGGAACTTATATGGCAAACCAGAAGGATTCTATAGCAGGAAGCTTATTCTGATTATAGAAACACTTTGTAGAGGCATTTTATTTAAAGTAGAATTCTGTCGAAACAGCTAGTTCTCGAGCTACCAGAAAAAGCTTGGCTGGGACCGAAGTGATGGATTAGCACATGTTCGGTTACCTCTAGAGAAGGTATTGCTCTAATTTTCCTCTAATGAACTTTCATAAAAGAAATCTGAACCAAGTACAGACAAATCAGGTTTTTCACAAATTTCTGGAACATTGGCTATTTCATAGCAGTTAATGGTGTGGTAAGTACTCAATCCCTTATGATTAAGTGGCTTATTTAAATTCTTACAGTGCTTGTGCTTCAATCTAAAGGAAAAAAAATTGAAAGTGGAAATTAGTGATGCAAGTTTCTTCTTCCCTCCCCCTGAATTAATGAATTTCTCTTTGTAATTTACCTTTCACCAGAGCTCTGTGAAAGCCACTTGTTCACTCCTACTTTGATCTCAGCATCAGTAATAGAGATGTGAGGATATTTGGGATGGTAGCTTTCTTCATGCTGCAACATACCAAAAGAACACTCAGTAGTGCAAGGAATAGTCTGATTGCTAATCAGTTTGATCTTATTAACATGGTGATTCTTTGGTCTTACTGTGCTACTGATTAAATAGTGCACAAAGATCTCTTTTTTTTCTTCCCTTCCCTTCCAAAGGAAGAAAACTTGATTGCTCAAAAACAGGATTTTGAAATGCTTCTGATGGAGTATTTTGGATAGTGTATGTTAAATCATTACATTTACTTGCAACACTCATCTCTAAATTCCCAACTTTATATAAGCATTTGTGAGTGTTTTGCTATTATGGCATTACTAATAAGGAGGATATTGAGAATATCTTACTGTTTCGGTATGTTTTTTCAGGCTGTGTTTTGAGACTCTTTTGACTTTGAAAGATCCTAGAAAAGTATCTAATAAAGACCACCTTTTTGTATCCAAAAATCTGTGTGTGAAGTATACTGGGAGATCAAATCTCCACTAAAAATATTTAAGGACATGAGTGACAAACCATCAAAGGCATTTACTCAGACAGCCTTTATGGGTCATTATTAACCTTAGCTAAGTGTATAAATATGCCTTATCTGCTATTATCTTTGCCGGCATAACAGACTTGTGAATTAAATGCTGCTTTAAAATAGAGTTTGTAAGCTCCCAACGCACATCAAATAGCTTGAAATTCAATCTTCCTTTATTTCTGAATTTCAGATGATTCAAACTTAGGTAAAATACATAAGACTTACTAGAATTGTTGTATTTTATAGTTTGCTGTTCCATTAATCTTTTGAAAAAAAATGTAAGTAATAATTGTGAAATGATGCACATTCTTAGGGGGAATCACCCCTCCCCGACAAATCTAAGTATTTTAAACCACCATGGTAGAGTTTAGAGCCACAAAAGGATAAGGGCAAAGCAAACAATGTAATATTTTATTTATTTATTTTTAAATCTACAGCATAACTTCTCACATAAAGGCTGGATCTAGCATATTGTTAGTCCATAAAAATGTAAAGAAAAATGTACAGGCTCACTATTACTAAGGCTCAGTTGGTGCATGGTAACACTTGATCATGTGTCTGGTCCTCACTGAAATGTTTCTTTCATTAACACCTGATAAAAATGATGAAGCCAAAATAAAACAATCTTTCTGAAATACCAAATATGCCAGCCAGCTGCACACTCATATTAAAGTTTTAGTTTACCAGATGGTAGTCTAATACACCACAGGTTTGAATTTAATTCTTTGTTTCTTAAGCAGTTGTACAGAATCCAGAGATATGCCCTAAATGCACCACCTTGCCTACATCACTTGTTTTACTAGAGGACAGCAATGGAGGCCTTACCCATTGCGTGGAGAAAAACTGCTGTGTATGCACAAACCTTAGGCACAGGTTTCCCCTGGGCTTTGGGACTCTGGTCTGAGTTGATGACTTCCAAGACAGAAGACTGTCCTTCTAGCACTGGATGAAGGGGCAGGCTTTGTGGGTCTATCAGGATTTCATAGGGAACCCTGGGGTGTTTCCAGGAGGCAGGAGTGAAAACCTCCCAGGGCTCAGCCTGGCCGAAGGTCCCTGGAGGGCGGAGAGAAAAAAGGAAAAAAAGATATCCATGTAAAGAGGCAGATGGGCTAATTCACAAACCTGCTTTTCAATGGACTCATCAAGTCATTGTGGTACCAGCTAAAGATTGTAGGAAATCTTTGAATAAACTTTCTTCAGGGGAGAGAACGGGCAAAAAGCAGGAATCACAGCACATGAGTTGCAACAAAAAGCACATAAAGAAAAAAGTGTCACTGCTTTAGGCAAGATACCAAAGGAGGAGGGACTTGAGGTATTGCTGTGATTAATCTTTGGCACCAGGCTATCTATTTATGTGAACTAGGGCTGCTTTCCTCTAATTCTGAAATTGGACTGCCAGGTGAGTTACTAAATTTGATTGGGGTAGGGGGGGGTTAAACTTTTCTGTAACAGCTGAGCAGCCTGATTACCAGGATATCTGCTGCTCTGATACAAATATTTGTCATGCATATATTTGTGGTTTTTGTAGCTCCCTATGATTAAGCTACAGTATAGTTCTGTGAAACACATTCAATACATAAATAAATAAATACATTTTATATAATCTTCAAAGTCAGATGTTATTTATTTCATGGACCTTGATCAATCCCAAAAAACAGTATTGAATTCAGTACATGTTATCGCAGATAATTTCGAGTGACTTTCAAAAGTGGTGAAGGAGCCAAAAATGCAAATAGAAAAACAGGACCTAAACATATAATTTCCACAGAGTTAAAAAAAAAAAGTATTACAGAAAAAAGCCATCAGCACCTGCATCTTTAGATTTAAAAAAAAAAAATCTTAAAAAGCTGGCCTTTAATTCGTCTGACTGAAGGCGTTCACTTCTAAATATGATTTTACAATACTCTTCCTCCTCAGAAAGTAAGAAGCATGCTGGGAATTGGAAAGAAGAGAAAACCCCATAGGTGTTCCTTGTGGATATTAATAAAACCCACCCCGTCATTCAAATGTAGCCCCTAGTGATGTAAAACATGAGATGCAAGGCTGAATAGTACAGGTCCAAACTCTAAATCCCTTGCTGTAGTCCAAGAATCTGTTGCTTAGACGCTCACTAACTTATGACTGCAGTGGTAGGGTAATTATAAAAGTCCACATCACCTTTGTAGGTGTTGTTTTTTTTTTAATCTGTATCTGCTGTTTATTAACTGGTGCCTTTTGAGTGCTTAGCTGTTATTATTACTTACCAATGTATTCTCCAGTCAGACTCCACAGGCGGACTGTGCAATCTATAGATGAGGACAACAGGACTCTGTCTTCATCTATCACCTCTAATCTATCAAAACAGAGAGCAGCATAGACAGGTATATACAGAGGTTCCTACCAGGAAACCTGTGACAGCATCACTAACTTGCACCTTCTGTTGTTGAGCTTTACTGCCCCAAAATTTCATCTACAGTGGGTAGCTTTACAGGTTGGCTTCAGCATACAGATGCTTATCCCTCTTGGCATGCCTCTACAGAGACTGGGAGGGAGAGGGATCCTCCAAAGAGAGATTCAGAAAGGGAGTTTACCTCTCAGGATCAGTTGCCCACTGGGGTCCCTGCTCCCTTGGACTGCAGAGGGGACCGGCGAGCCCAGCCTTCTCGGATTGAGGAGCTCTGTCAGAGTGTGTGATACCTGTGCTGAGGGCACGCAACAGAGCTGATGTAGCTCTGCCGAAGCATGTGATACCCATGCCTGTGACAGTGCTGATGTTGCAGGTCTGCCGGAACGTAATACCTGTGCCTAGAGCATGTGTGGCAGCGCTGATGTTGTAGCTCTGCTGGAGCGTGTGATACACACCCCCAGGGCGCATGCAACAGTGCTGATGCTGTAAGGCAGCCGCTGTTTCAAGGAACTGAAGTGCCAGGTACTATCAGACAAGTCTGAATGACACTGAAGTAAAAATGGCACCATCATGGCACTTCACACGATTTGAGAAGTAATCAGCACAGGCGATCTCTGAACATCAGCAGAGAGCAGAGCTGAGGTTTCTAGTGTTGCCAGTGTAGATGATAATTAAGTAACTGAAACACGTTCCACTGAAAAGCAGCTGTTTATAGGTCTGTGTACTCTGTAGCTATTTACACAGCTCAAACTGCACTACGTAAGACCATACTTACGATACAACCATTTTTATATGTGCTCGCCAGTGATGCATATCTACAGTAAAAGAAAGAATAAATCTGTAATATTCCCTATGATTCACAGTAATACACAAATATATGTCAATAGTGAAGAATATTTCACCAAGTGTCACTTCAGAGAGGCAACATTTTGTGCAAGGCCAAACATAAAGCCTACGAAACAAAAACTACATATTTCTGACTCAGTATTTTAACCTTTTTTTTAATGTAACACAATGTTAACATAGTTTTCACCTAGGGCATGTTAAACTGATGCATGTCTGTTTAGCTCCCACCAAACTACATGGATTTGAGTGTTACAGGATGATATGTCAACATCCTTACTGAGATCTGGCTCAATCCTTACCTCACACTGAATTCAAAGTAGGTTTGTTAGTATTTAGCCAATGGACCATTAAATCGTTTTACCTAAAATGCTTCACAGAGGCAAATTTAGCTGTGCTGAAAACAAGTCATCACATAACCAAAGTTAGATTTATGAGATTGTACAAGAGGGGAAAACAGATTAAAAATGTGGCTCGGAGGAGTATTTTGATTTGTTTGGAGTTTTTTTTAATATAGTTTCAAATCATAAGAACTTTGTTCATTTTAATCCTTATTTTCTCTTCTTGTGTTTGCTTAGATGCACACACATACATACATATAATGATTCAAACAGTTTATCTGTGTAAAAAACAATTCATACCACATACATTGTGGTGGCTCCTGCTCCAGATTCCCAAGGGCATAATCCTTGATGCTGTAGACATACACATAACCATCACTATCGGCCGCATAAAGAGATGAATCATCAGGAGTGACAGCTATGCTGCTGATTGGAGATTTTACTCGAGACTGAAATAGACGTTCAGGTATGATTAACCAATAACTTATAGTCTGTGATAATACAGTCCAGACTGTTTTAATGCACTTAAATTGCAGCATACAGGTGATATAACTAATCCAAAGAGGAGATACATTTGTAACAACCAGTCAAGGAGATTGTACTTTTCCTCTGCCCTCTATTAATCATACACAATTTACCTGGAACTGCAAGGGCGGTGCCAAACAGTTCTGCCTGGCTTACTTTTGCTTGTGTCAACAGCCAAACTTACAGGTATGAAGCTTGCTGGAGGTGAGGCTCCGCTGAGCAGGCTCCAGAAGATGAGAGAACCTGCAGAAAAACAAATCAGAATGGCAGAAATATTTCTCAGCAGTTGTGGAGCATGAGTCTATTGGGACAGGAATACAGAGGTGATGAAATCAGAATTAGAAGCAACGATCAAGCTATTCTCCACTAATCGTCACTTGTCTACAAGTTATTTACAGTAATACACTGGCTTTTCCTATAGTGATGTTTTGTCATTTTTATCATGCAGCTCGGATATTCTCCAGGTATTTTCCATCTGAGTAAATGATTATTTTCACTTAAAACTTTAACATAAGGCAAGGGAAGGATCAAGAAAACATCCAAATTTAAGGGGGAAAAAAAATAGCAATTAAGAAAGGTTAGAGTGAGTCCTGCTATCAGCGAAAAACAAAGTTCTGCCATCGAATGGATGAGCACGTTCTCCCAGGACCAGAGCTCCTGCAGATTTTACTGCACCGGAGAGGAGTGTTCAGCAGCCACGGGAACATGCATTAAGGTGCTGACCTCCTTTTAGATGTTGTAAATCAATAATCTGAAAATACATCCTTATGGATTAAAAGCGAAGGGAGAGGAAAGATTCGTTGTGACTGCAATCTGAGAAACAACTAACTCACAGTTTTCCAAAAAAACATAATTCAGGTCTGTTTTTCGAAAAACTATAGTGCAGATCATTTAAAACACGCTCCATACACTACAGAGCTGTCACATTGCTGGGACATGCACCACATCACAGTGCTAACTCCTACCTTGAGGCCCATTAGAGATAAGAGCTGCTGCTCCAGATTCAAGCATAGCCATGCGAGTCCTTAGAAATACAACTTGGGTAACACTTGTGTCTATAGCTTGGAAAGGAAAAGGAAGAACAAAATTCATGTGTCACTGCAAGCCTGCTTAAATGCTCAAGAGTTCAGCATTACCCTTCTGTAAAGAATAAAACTGAACCAATAAAATAAATTATGTCGACACAGCAAGATTCCACCCTGCCGCTGTATTGAAATTATGATAACCAAAACCCCTGCTTTTGTCTTTTTCTAACACAGTGGTAACGCTTTGATATGCATTTATTACAGCTATCCCTTCAAAGCCTCACAAAACCACCAATATCATCATTGATAGCTTTCAGTAGAGCTGATCAGAGAAAGATGGAAACCTTTTACAGCGGAAAGGTTGTCTACTGAAATTAAAAGCACTCTGCAGAATCATGGATTATACCAGTTTTATTTTGGAGTTAAAAAAAGGAAAATTCTGGGCTGTCTTAGTAGTTTTAGAACAAAACTTCTATTTTTCTTGAAGAAACAGTTTGAATGATAAGGTTTACTATTTGTAAGATAGAAAGATAGATTGATAGCTGGTATAAGTAATCTCACAAAAATCGAAAACAACCATTTAAACCTATCTATCTTAAATATTTTTCTGGTCTTCCTTTTGCAAAGATTTTGCAACGCTGAGGTTTATTTATTATTGTCACTGCATTGCTCCCAAACGGTACTTGCCTCCTCCCTCAGCGCAGTCAGCAG